ATGATATTTGCAAAACAGCGATGACGCTGAATAACATAAACCGCCCGTTTTGTTCATTTTAGCTGCTATATGATGGGTAGCTTGCGCCAACTGGTTTTAGACATCAACATGTTTAATTCGTGAGTCTGAGGTTTTGCTCCCCCGCCACAGGAAGCCCTGGACAAGTACCAACAAACCAACAAAAACAAACGCGAACACCGAGAAAAGCGGCAAGCCACAGAGCGCAACATTGGACCTGGGCAGGGTAAGACTCTTGTAATCATTGTGTAGGGTACTACTCTTGTGGGGCACTCACTAGGCACAGTGGTGAGGGTTCTTATACTGTAGGACACACTTCTTTGTGGGACACTCTTGCAAGACACTCTCATCAAAAAACTCTTGTGGGACACTCTCTTGTTAGACACACTCTTGACATCAGCGCTGGGCACTTTTTGTGGGGCCCTCTGTTAGTTTTCAACACTGACGCTGGCCAGCTTCTGGTCCTGGACAGCCTTACAAAATGCTCCATTGGGTAGATATATCCGAAGCATTTGGTTGCCCAAATGAACATGTTGGCAAAACACCGGATGTTTTTGAGACACCGGTTGCAACGATAATTCCTTCACTTCTGGTGCGTCGCGGGCTGGAGGTGGCAATGTTTCGGATGATACACCCACAAATCGAGTGTTTCCGGACCGAAGGTTTTCCAATTCAAGGGAGATGCCATGTGATGTAAGGATCTTTGCATGTCGAACTTCTTCTACTGCTGACAGCGGTCTTGCGTGTTCGGCAGCTAGCCTAAACAACTTATTTCCAAGAACAGCCCGCAATACATTCTCGTCCTCATGGAGAATGACTTTCAAAGGACCAAGCCAGCGGTTGTCTTTGCTCCATGCCATGTTCCAATCCCCAGGATGATAGACGGTTCTCTGCGGTCGGGAACGGTGACTCAGGGCTCGACGGAGAGACTTGACTGCGTATTACTGCGCTGAAAGCTTGACGCGCTCTCTCGCGAGTGGCCAGTCTTTCCCGAGGCACCTGGCCCTCTGCAGTGTCTTGAAGAGCTAACGCGTGGGAGGCGTCAGTGTGATCGCTAGTGATGGCTCCAGGACAGCGGCTGAGTTTCCCAAAAACCAACATTTCCGGTGGATATCCTCGATGATCTCGATGTCTTGACCACTTGTTCTTGGTTTGAGAAGCGAAAGCAATAGCGTGGTCCAGATCCTCAATGGTGAGGATTGCCTTTTCTGGATCCATTTTTCTCAAAATTGCCAGCAGTATCCCTCGTGTCGTTCCACTCTAGCATTCTGCCAATGGGCTTCAGGGGCAATCACGCGAAGCTTGATGTCATGTTTGTGGAGAAATTGATGGAAAACTTCTGTTCCAAATTCGGCTCCGGAGTCTACTACGAGGGCTCCTCAGCCCCTCCTATCCACCCTTGAACAATTGCTCTGATTGCATCTTGCGACAAATGACATAGTGTTGACACTGCAGTATGGAAGGTTGTACTTTGATCCACAAAGTGGTAGAAGAAAAACTGATTTCCTTCCTGTTTGTCCATTTGATTCCGTCCATTCCTACAACATCTCCAAAGTCAAGATCACTTCTGCGCATGTGGAACACCTTAAGTCATCGAGGGCTTCAAGTTCTCTGGTTGGACTCCTATTTGTTGACAGAACAGTCGCAACTGAGCTGCGCTAGGGTGACCCGTGTTCTTGTGGACTTTGAGGACCCATGCTCTATCCTCTATCTTCAGCCTTGAGAGCGAGCGTTCGGGGTCCATGATTGTCTGAGACCATGTCGATAGCCTGTCGGAGTTCTTGCGCCTCTGGCTCAGACGTTTCAGGGACGGCAGCCACAGCGACTGGAATTGCAGGATCTGTGGATTAATGGTCAGGCCGCGGCGGGATGAGGCAGCGGCGCAGCTTCTGCGCAGTTGTCGAGCGGACAGTCGCTCCCACGGTTCCCAGTCCGGTTCTACCACTACTTCTTCAAATAGACGGCGGATGCCTACGAATTTTCCCAAAGGTACTATTCCAGGCGACAACTTCATGTTAGGTCCTACAAAATCTATCCATTCCCCGGCAAACGACAAGGTGGCGCACAATTTGCTGAGGACATTTACGTTGAATTGCTTGGAGAATGGGGCCTTCTTTGATGGCCTTTGGTCCTACCCGTGGGGCCTCTTCGTCAACTACTCTCACGATGTCATCCCACGTAGGATCTTCACTGAGCAGTTGGATATGTGACGGTTTTGGCTTTTGGTCGAGACGTCTGCGTTTGGTAGGATGTTCCGCATCCGCAAGCGCTGGGCTATTTGTCGCGCGAACTTCCTGCAGGGGAATAGCTGAGTGTACTGTGACAAAGCTGCGGTAACACCTTGAACGTTGATGGTTCCTGCGATCTGGTAGCGCTGTCCTCATGGCATTTTCTATTGCGCAACATGAAGTACAAGTTCTTGGCGCACGTACACTACACAACGCTTTCAAACCGGCTTCTGAGATGGTGGTTCCCTGAGATGACCGACTCGGCGCGGGTCAAAAAGTGCTTGGTTTGGTGACGCGCGCAAAAGGCTGAAAGCACGGAAGCTTCAGCGTGTGGGACCCCTTGAGGTGTTTCACAATGGAAGTGTCTCTGACGAGTGGTTTGGTGCTCAAGAAATCTTGCAAGACTCACTTGCCAGAGATGATCTTTTCGGGCTTGGCGGATCTTGTTAGTTGCCACCAGAGTCCACAGGTCGGACTGATCCAGATGTTCTTGAACCTGCCCCTGTGAGATTGCCCAGGTAGCTCCGCTACCAATATCGAAACCACCCTGGTTTCGATACTGGCGACGGAAAACAGCCGATGATGGGCTCACTCAAATACAATGCACAACCAGAATTCAACAATGAAGCACCGCTTCCCACCAGACCCCTGTCCAGCTCCAAAGTCTCTCTTCTCGCCAAGCGCCCTGCGCTCTGAGGTCTCGTTCACACTCAAGATGCGTCTCCATCAGTGCCAGCCGCAACGAAAGGAGTCCCTGCTCCAATGTCTCAAGGATGAACCGCCCGCCCACCCACGTCTTGGACATCCAAGGTGCAGCGGAAAGGGGAACGTGTGACAGCCACCCTCAAGGTATGATCGACAAGTTTGACACTGCGCGCATCAAAACATGCACATCTTCACATCTGCAAAAAAAAGAAAGTCTGACCTGGAAGACGTAAGGTTCTTGAAATCCTTTCTCTTCCGCAGTCTTCAGGCCCAGATGCGGCAACACATCTTAGCGCCCTTCTTAGCTCTGGCTGTGGGATGGCCATGGGGCTGAGGATAGCGGGTTTCCACAGCCCAACAAGACGGCCTCCCGTGAAGGAATCTTCTGGTGGGTTGAGGGCACTATATCCGAGGTGATCGAAGGTTGGAGATCTACGTGAAGTACCTCGAGAACACTGCCGTCATTGACCCGAAGTACATGGAAGACATGGCCTACACCAAGAACTTCGAGGACGTGGATTCATCTAAAGCTCAACTTCTTCTGAAGGAGATTCCGCAGGATGCAGCGTGCCTTGCCTGAACCACTGGCGCAGCGCGTCACGAATTGGGAAGGCCGAACCATTGTAAGCGGGCGGCGGCTGAACGGCATGCAGCTGGCAGAGGTCAAGAAGAAGTTGATGGGCTTGGTGCGTAAGCATAGTGCCGGGAACATCAAAGGTGAGCTTTGGCCCAGCTGGCCGAGCTTGGTATTGACAAGCAGATGTTGGAGGGTGGATTTGGCACGGCTTCGTGACATCCCGGATTCGATCGACGCAGAGTATGCTGGCCGCCACCTTAACCTCTACGACCCGGCGATCAGGCCTAGCTTGGGCCCCACTTTGTATGTCGGAGGCTGGGTCAGCATGGAGAAGGACGAGGTTGGCAGGCAGGAGGTGCTCAACAAGGCGCTGAAGTATGTGAAGCGCTGCAGGGACCATCCGAAGTACGAGCCCAGGGTGATCAAGCTTGCAGTTGAACTCCGCGATGATCTGCCGATAACAGCCGGAACGCTCGAAGGGGCTATCAGAGGATTGCGAGAAGCGCGGCAGCAGGTGATCGGGGTCCCCACCGCTGGAGCCACTTCTAAGGAGGTTTTGAGATGCCTCAGCCTGAACACGCCAACTACCTCGAAGCAATGAACAAGGACTGAAGGCCGAGCCCTACCCCTCCGCCATCGAGCACCTCGAGGAGATGTCCGGACCAGAAGGCATGGAAGGATGGGCATTGGAGGTGCTACGGCTATGTACCAGACCACCAAGGACCTGGACATCGTCAAGCGCTTCGGCAGATGGAACTCGGACGCCTTCCACGGCTACCTGTAAAAGTCGCGTGAACGCCAGCGAGATCTGGCGAAAGGCGTGGCCAAGGCAGATGGCCAGTTGCCCGCCCCTCGCAAAAACAAGGGGTATGAAAGAGAAGACAGTTTTTGGAAGCACGAAGCTTCGTGGGCGCCGGCGGAGCAGACCGAGAAGATCGGCTGTGGCGAGGTAGAGTATGTCTTAGGCATCCTTGGCGACGAAGATCGCAGAGGGCATGGCTACATCGTCCAGTACGCCAGCGCAGAGTTCTCGGCGGTGCACCACGGCATGCTCGCCTCCGGAGGCAGTAATGGCCAAAAAGGCGGCGAGGCATAGACTTCGGCTCTATGGCGAAAAGATCTGCCTCCACTGAAGTGTTTCCGAGAAGTCTACTAGAGAACATGAAAGTCTGACCCTGGAAGACGTAAGGTTCTTGAGATCCTTTCGCTTCCGCAGTCTTCAGGCTCGGAGGGGCCTTTGCGCCACTCCTGCCCACCCGCATGTGGCCAAACAGGCTGCAAGGCATAGACTTCAGCCCTATGGCGAAAAGATCTGCCTCCACTGAAGTGTTTGCGAGAAGTCTAGAGAACCTAGAAACTGCGGTGGCAAAGAGAGGGTGTTCAATTCCCGGACACTGATGATTTTGTTAAGTTATAGCCTATAGCGGTATCATCAGACATTCGCAGACAGCCCGGGCCTGTTCTTCGTTGAGGTGCCCGATGCTTTCAGCAGCTCTTGGAGTGTTGGCCTCAGGTATCCTCAGGTCGTACTGGGTCATTGAAGCTTTGCGTTTTCGCGCTGTTCCAAACAAACTTTTTCTGATTCAGTATGCTTCCTGGAGTTGCGTGCAACTGATCAGCAACGGCCAGCCAATCATTGGACCTTTCCAAATTTTGGGTTCAGTTTCGGGCAAGGCTGTAGCCTGTTGGAGCAGCTTGGGGAGCACGCAGCCCGTTCGTTGACGCAAAGCTCATGGTCGCCCAGGCAAGGGAGACAAACTGCAGTTTGTTAGCAACGTATCCTTCATTCAACGTTCTCAGCGACGCTAAGCAGTGGGTCAGATTGCAAGTGGTCTAGATCAGCTATGGTATGAAAAACATAAAAAAAATAAAAAAGAAATAAATATATATACATAAATAAATATAAAATATATAAAAAAAATGAAATATAATGACGGCAGACTAGATAGAAATGCAAAAAAGTCAAAAACCAGGGTCTATAGCCGACCGAGCTTTTGACATTTCTATCTTTGGTATTTGCCTGTAAAACACAGGGAAAGTGACTTATTTAACAAAAGGACCGCCCGACCGAGCACCCAAAACATTTCTATCTTTGAGATTTCCGTGCATATATCCTGGATTTTGATGCGTGTTGATAAAAAGTGCTGTAAATAGCGCGAAATATGA